ATAAAATGAGGGGCTAGGGATTTAGCTCAGTGGTTACACTGCCTGCCTCATAAGCTCAAGGACCTGAGTTCGATCTCCGGTACCAAAAAAAAAAAAAGAAAGAAATAGGGCCGGGGATGTAGCTCAGTGCATAGGCTGTGAATTAATCCTATTATTAATAATCCTATTATTAATACTATTATCAATTGCATTAATCCTGTTGGGATTAATCCCAATCCTTCATACTACAAAAACGAGAAAAAAACAGCATTCTTTATTTCTGTTAGTATTTTGATCTCTAGCATTTCTTTTTGGTTCTTTCTTGGAATTTCCTTCTCTCTGCCTACATTGCTCACTTGTTCTTGCATCCTGTTTGCTTTACCCATTGGAGCCTTAGCATATTAACCATTGTCATTTTAAAATCTTGGTCTGGTAATTCTAACATCCCTGCCATGTTTAGTTCTTCTGCTTGCTTTGTCTTTTCAAACTGTGTTTTTGTTTATGCCTTTTAATATCAGCAGCTTTCCCATGCTGGGGCAAAATACCTGACACCACAATGTAAAGGGGAAAAACATATTTTGACTTATGGTTTCAGAGGATTCAGTCTATGGTCAGATGGCTCCATGGCAGAAACATCATGGAGTGATGGAGGAAAGTTGCTCACCTTATGGTGACTGGGAAGGCAGAGCACTGGGGAAGAGGCCTGAGAGGAAGTGGTCAGATATAGTCCCTGAGGTCACACCTCCATGACCTGTCCAGGCACACCCAGATGTGTGCTTCACTAATCTATCAAGACAATCAAGTTGACAATCAACATTAACCATCATCACTGTAATTTCTCCAGGATCACCAGGCATGTTATGCTGGGTAAAGGAACCATTGTCAACAGATAGCCCTCTGTATCTACAGGTTCCCCATCCAGGGATTTAACTATCTCTGGCTCCAAAATATTGTAGGGAAAAAGATATCTCTGTTCTGAACATATGCAGATTCTTTTTCTTGTTACTATTCCCTCAATCATAGAGTATAACAACCATTTACAAGTGCTGACATTTTATTAGGTGTTGCAATTAATCCAGAAATGATTTAACCTTTGGAAAGTTCTGAGATTTGAGTGATACAAGCAAACTTTTCTCCTCTTTCTCTTTCTTTTTGGTTTCTTGAGACAGGATCTTTCTATGTAGTCTAGGCTAGCCTTAAACTCGTCGTGATCCTCCTGCCTCAGCCTCCCAGGTGCTAGGATTACAGTCATGAGTTTATTGGTACATTTTAGGTATACATTATGATCACATTCAACATTTGGAATTTGTACCTGTATGCGATTGTATCTTGGCTCTTGTTTTTTTCCCATTCCCCTGCCCTCCCTTAAGTCCTCCACCCCTCCCTTTATGAAAACTTTGTTTCCACTTTTTTTCTTCTTTCATTTTTTCCCTTCTTTCCTTACCCCCACTCCCCTAGTTCCCCTTCCCCTTTGAACATTTTCTTCCTGTTTCATAATATCTATTGTGCAGTTTTGTCCTCATTTACAGTTTCAGTTTCTCACACCAGAGAAACTATTTGGTATTTACACGTGTGTCCTATTTATTTCACTTAAGAATATGGCCTCGAGGTGCATCCACTTAGCTATAAATGTCTCTAGTTTATCTTTCTTTATGACTGAGCAGTACTCCATTTTATTTTTTTAAAAACCCACATCTTCTTTATCCAATCAAGAGTTGATGGGTATTAGGGGTGTTTCCAAGACTTAGCTATTACAAATTTTGCCACTCTAATCATGGGTGTGCATATGTCGTTATGGTAGGATGCTTTTAATTCTTTTGGGAAGATACCCAGCAGGGGAATAGCTGGGTCAAATGGGACCTCTAATCCTAGCTTTCTGAGGAATCACCACACTGATTTCCACAGTGGTTGCACCAGTCTACACTCCCACCAACAGTGGAGAAGCATTCCTTTTTCCCCACAGCCCCGCCAGCATTTGTTATTGGTTGATTTCTTGATAGCAGCCATTCTTTTTGGAGTGAGATGAAATCTCAACGTTGCTTTCATCTGCATCTTTCAAATGACCAGTGATGTTGAATATTTTTCCATATGTTTACTTGCTGCTTCTACTTCTTCATTCTGAGAAATGGCTATTTATTTCCAATCCATTTTTGGATTGGATCTTCAAATTTGGGAAGTCTGATTTTTTAAAGTTCTTTATATATTCTAGATAGTAGACCTTTGTCTGAGGAACAGCTGGTAAAATCTTTTTCCCACATTGTGGGTTGTGTGGTTTCTCTTGCTGTGCAGAAGGTTTTTACTGAGAGCCCATGTTGATTCTTTGTGCTAGTTCCTGTGTGTTTGAGGTTTTGTTCAAAAAGTCTTTTCCTATGCCAATGTCCTCAAGAGTTTTACCTGGGCCAGGGATTTAGCTCAGTGGCACCACGCCTGCCTGGTAAGTGGAAGGTCCTAAGTTTGTTCCCTGATACGGGGTGGGGATAGGGTGGGGGTGTTCTATCTAACCTCTCTTCCAGCAGATTTAGTATTTCTGTTTTACTATTTAGCTCTTTGACCCATTTTGATTTTAGTTCAGTGCATGGTGAAAGATATGGGTCTAGTTTTAATCTTTGCCAAATTGAAACCCAGTTTTCCCAGCACTATTTATTAAAGAGGTTATCCTTCCTCCAGTGAGGGTGTTTGGCTCCTTTGTCAAATATGAGGCAGCTGAGGATGTCTGGAGTTATTTCTGGATCTTCTAATTTGTTCCATTGATCTTTGGGTCTGTTTCTTTGCCAGTACCATGCCATTTTTATCACAGTAGCTTTGTAGTATAGTTTCAAGTTGGGGGTTGTGTGGTTTTGTTATATTTCTTTAATAATTTCTGCTTTGTCTTTATTGCCTAGAATTGCTTTTGCTATTCTAGGTCTCTTCTGGTTCCAAATGAATTTTTGGGTTGTTTTCTCTGCTCCTGTGAAATATGCTGGTGGAATTTCAATTGAGAGTGCATTGAATCTATATAGCAGTTTTGGAAGTATGGCCATTTTCTTTCTTTAAAATTTAATTTTATTGGTACATTTTAGGTATACAATATAATGACATTCATCATTGGAAATTTGCACCTTTACATAATCTTTCTTGGTTCTTATT